GGAAGGCAAATAATTTGAAGGCCAGAATCTGATCTATTTTTAAATTTGGAAATTTCAAACTAAATTGCCCCTGGCATAATGCCAGCCTTTAGTGATGTGACGATATGCGTATCTGCTTGTTATTTAATGATCACTGCCTTTATAAGTAGCAAGCAATTTACCTTAAATATATACTTTTCTGTTAATCCTCAAATGAGAATATTTTTCCATTGAATTTTAGAGAGAGTGGAAGGGAGGGGGAGAGACAGAGAGAGAAACATTGATGTGAGAGAGATACATGGATTGGTTGCCTCCCTCACGCTCCCCGACCCAGGACCCGGGATGGATTGAACCTGCAACCGAGGTATGTGCCCTTGACCGGAATTGAACCCGAGACCCTTCAGTCCTCAGACGGACACTCTATCCACTGAGCCAAAAAGGCTAGGGCTTACTTTAAATATATACTTTAGAAAAGCAGTGCTATTCCCAAAGGCAGCAGTATGAAGTGACAATGACAATGTTCTAAATCTGAATAAATCCTTCAGTTATGCCTTCATTTACTAAATCAGAAAAGCATACAAACCCCCTCACGGTGGCAGAAAAGGAAGTTGCCTCCTCTAAAGAGTTAAGGCAAGTGTCAGCCTGGGCTTGCTGGCAAGAGATGTCACCCGTTTTCTAGAGCTCTGGGGATAGACACAGCTCAGGGTAAGTCAGTATCACACCGCTCGGGCTTGTTCAGGGCCTGAAGTTTTACCGTTAACGGTACCACTAAGATGCACATACTATTTAGAAAGGTACTGCTTTTGCAAAGTAAATACAAACAAAAGGGGTGTGTGAAACTATCTTTTTTTAAAAGTATATTTTTATTGATTTCAGAGAGGAAAGGAGAGGGAGAGGGAAGAGGAGAGGGAGAGAGAGAGAGAGATCAATGATGAGACAGAATCACTGATCAGCTGCCTCCTGCATGGTTCCCACTGGGGATCGAACCCACAACCCAGGCATGTGCCCTCACAGGGTATCGAACCCTGACCTTCTGGTCAATAGGTCAATGCTCAACCACTGAGACACCCTGGCCGGGTGCAACTAAACTCTCTTTAGTGATTAGTCTGGAAACAATTTTTCCCCCTTCTCCTCAGCGGAAAGAGCTGAAAGAAGTCTAAGGCTTTACGTGATCAGATTCTCATTTAAAACGGAAGTATGTTGAAATGGAGTAAGTCAAGGGTCTGCAAACCTAGTCTGTAAATATTCAGTCAATATGGTAGGCTTTATGGACCATACGGTCTCTGGTGCGACCGTCCACTTGGCTGCTGTAGCTCAAGGCAGCCCGAGACAAGGTGCAAGCAATTAAGTCCAGTTGTATCCAATCGCCTTTATTTTGTAGACTGAGCTTTGGATTTCAGGTAATTTTCAAGGGTCCCAAATAGTTATTTTGGTTTGACGTGTTTTCGACCATTACAGAAATATAAAAACCAATCCTAGTTTGGGAGCCACACAAAAACAGACAGGAGGCCACGGTTTGCTGATCCCAGAAAGAGTTGGAGCTATGGGTTCTAACTCAACCTGAGCTTTTTTAGTTCATGGCACAAGGGTTGTCAGTAGCCGATTTGGAAGTGTGTGGATTAGTCGATTAGGTTTGCTGGAAGCAAATTTTCCAGTGCTTCTATTCTCTAAAGCTCTGGTATAACCAACCACAATTTTGAGTACTTCTCTGGACATTTCGGGGTGCAAATTGGGAGCAAACATTGTATGCAATGAACAGATGGGAAATATTACAGCCAGCTTTTTCTGGTGGAGGAGAACAAATTCACTTTAAATGTCTAGGGCGGTTGCAGGTGAATATGTAAGGGAGTTGGATTGCATCTTCCTGCTCTCCAGTAGGTGGTACTGCTTAGAGAGCCTCCCAACCCTGGAATGTGCTGAGGAGGAGAATGGAAGTGTGAGTCAGAGGACCATTTCGTTGGGATGCTGGACAGGGCACTGGAGCATTTGTTGGTTGGTGCAACTGCCTTTTAAGGGCCCTTAAGAGAGCTTGGCTTCTATGGCTTGGGCAAAGATTTTAAAACTTACTTTGGTTATCTAGATAAGAAGCAAACCACGGCTCAGAGTGTTTGGGATTGGCCTTGTCCAAAGAGGATTGCAGAATAAAACCAGTGAGAGCATGCCATCTGTGAATAGTTCCTCCTACTTGAAGGAGGGAGGAGATAATTAGAACTGGGCTTGTATCGCCAAAGCCTCTGAGCAATATGACATCAAAACCTATTCAAGAAGCATGCAGTGTGGTATCACAGAAACTGGCAAGGGCATCAGCAGCCCAGGTTTCTCACCTTGGCATTGCCACTTTGGGAGATCACTTAATTTTTGGACTTTCTCGTGCTGTTTGGCAGGTGGGAATACTACTTACCCAATTATGTGTAGGCCCTGATATGTTACGAAGACGGGAGGGCTATATACATTTAAGGCAACCAGACTGGGCAGTCCTCATCGGTTCTCGAAAACTTCAGAGCTTCTGAAGCTGAGATGACACCCTTTCTTTCTACCTCCCCCTCCTGTCCCACCTGTACACATGACAGAGGAGCAGGTTTTGCTCCATCTGGGTTAGTCCCATTTTTCTCGTCTACATTTCAGCCTTTCGGTATCTCACACCTCCCACAAAAGTGGTGGTAATTGCAGAAGCGCCTGGGTCTTTTTCTAAGCTACACAGAAGCCTTGGGGAATTCTTAGCACTTATTTTTGGCGGTATATGTCAAAGTATACATCGAACTTCCCACTTTGAAATATGCTGGCTATTTAAACATGCGTGTGCTGTCTTCATGAAAGTAGTAGGCAGATGACAATGAGAGCTGTTTAACTAGTAACCCGCTGTTTGTCCTCTGAAATTACTCTCCTAAGCTTAATGAATTCCTTGAGGCATGCATATAGCTGGATAGGTGTTTTCCCCCCAATAATGGGTACAGAGTGAACTTTTGTGACCTAAGAAGTGAACAAATGAGCTGCCCATTTGTAGCCCCTAAGAAGTGTCACAGAACTTTGGCTACTGCGTATTCAAAATGAAACTGAAGGCACTCAGGATGCTTTATTTACACGTGTTCACCCCACCTTCTGATAATGTTCAGTACAAACAAGCAGCACCATAACATGCAAGGCCTTGTGCTCTGTGCTGTGGGGGCTGCAGACATAAAGAGACAACAGAACACCACGCAAGGGAAAGAAGTGCTAGGAGAGGTTCAAAGTCAGCAGCTGACAACGTTGAGTTTGCTATGTGCCAGGCACTGTTGTTTCTCTGTAAGAGACTAAGAATGGGAAAGAAAGCATTTAGGCAATGGTAGAGAGAGTCATGGTGACACACACACACACACACACACACACACACACTATAAAGAGCCCTGGCCAGTGCTGCCAAATGGTTACAGCGTTTGGCCCTGGACACCAAGGGTCTTGGGTTTGATTCCCAGTCAAGGGCACCCCTGGCCAGTGTTGCCAAATGGTTACAGTGTTTGGCCCTGGGCACCAAGGGTCTTGGGTTCGAATCCCAGTCAAGGGCATATACCTGGGTTGCAGATTTGATCCCAGATCCTCAGCCTGGTAGCAGGAGGTAACCAATTGATCTCTCTCTCTCTCTCTCTCTCAGATCCTCAGCCTGGTAGCAGGAGGTAATCAATTGATATCTCTTTCTCTCTCTCCCTCTCTCTCTCTTTTCACCCTCTCCCTCCCTTCCACTCTTTCTAAAAAATTAATGGAAAAAATACCCTCTGGTGAGGATTAAAAAAACAACATGAAGAAAGGAGAGGTATAAAAACTAATACAAATAAGAAAAGTAAGTATTTAATAAACTTTGTGTACATCTTTAAGCAGGCCATCTTATTTAGGCTGATCTTTGGGGATAACTATTTTTTAAAAGCAGGGAACCTTGGGTTAATAGCAAACATAAAATTCCATGTAAATAAAATGTTAGGGATAACCATGTCTATTTGAATAGACCCTTTAACCCACCTCCAATGTGGAATCAGACAGTATTGGACTCCTTTGTATCCAAAACGTATGTACTGCACATTCCTCCTCTCTGCTTCACACAACCGAAACAACCCAGCGAGTTCGCGCTTTCCCCAGGGTTTCTCTCCCATTTGCCTCAACACCAGAGAGATGGCAAGACGCCCCCTGGCTCTGGGCTTCCCCTCCTCCCGGAGAGGACACTCCTGGGGCAGGTGGAATCGGACCTGTAATCAAACAGTATTGGACTCCTTTGTATCCAAAATGTATGTACTGCAAATTCCTCCTCTCTGCTTCACACAACCAAAAGAACCCCAGCGAGTTCGCGCTTTCCCCGCGGTTTCTCTCCCATTTGCCTCAACACCAGAGAGATGACAAGACGCCCCCTGGCTCTGGGCTTCCCCTCCTCACGGAGAGGACACTCCTGGGGCAGGTGGAATCGGACCTGGGAAAGGGCGGGCCCGGACCCGCCGACAGATCGCGATCAGACATTCAGACGCGCTTTCGCAGGAGTGGCGCATGGGGCGAGCCTACTAGCTCCTCCGTGTCCTCACTCCCTGCTCCCGCTCCGCCCTGGTGCAGCCCGCGCTGACTCACCAGCGGCTCCGGCTGCCTCCCT